CCGGGGAGGGGCAGGACCGGGCAGCCCCGCCCCGCCCCGCCCCGCCCCCGGGGTGGGGAGCAAGCAGAGGCAGCAGGCGCGGGGAAACTGAGGCGCCGGGGGTGGCCGCCTGACACCCGGCTGCCAGGTAAATCCCTTCCGGCAGCGGCAAGCCCTACGTGTGTGAGGGGCAGGTTATTGGAGCCCAGGACGGCTGCGAGGGGCCCCAGGTACATGAGAGAGAGCTGGGGGAGCTGCAGCCAGCGCCGGCCCCCCTAAGAACAGCCTCCTGGGTGTTCAGCCCGAGCGTCCCGTGAAGTAGGAGGCAAGCGGGTGCAGCCTGGGACTGTCCCTCCCCAGCCCAGATACCACTCCCAGCTGCGCCAGCAACCCGGGACGAGTCTCGTCCCTGTTCTGTGCCTCGGTTTTCCCATCTGTGCAGTGGGCGTACTAATACCGACGGCCTCCGCCGAGCACTTGGGGACCTACTCGTGCAAGAGGGTCGTGATAAATTCTTAAAATAAACACGGGCAATGAGAAGTGGAAATGGCGGCTTGAAGGCCTCACCACCTTCTCCCGCCGTGCTCGGGAGCACAGACCTGAGTCAGCTGGGACAATCAAAGGGACATTGTAGCATGATCATGTGCAGGGTAATATCTAGTCATGCACAAAGACGCCTAATTTCAGGCTGTGCCAGGCCTGCGTAGGCGAGAAAGGCATATGGCATCTTGACTTATCGCGCTGTCCTGGCTGCCACTTGTACTTTTAAGAGCAAACGCCATCTCCTTCCTATCCGCACAGAACCTCTCGCCTGCGTGCAGTGGTGCTTTCAACTTTGCCTCGAGTCTGCCCTTGAATAGGTCGCCCATGACTCACCCTCTTTGCAGTGAGGCCGCAAGCTAAATCGCTCAAATGCCGGTGTCCCTCTGGTGCCCCCCAGCCATTCCCCTGCGTGCCCAGGGAAGACCCTGAGCAGCTCAGCTCAGCTCGCCGCAGCATGGAGAACCGTGCCGGGGTCCCACCAGTGGGGCTGCCACCAGCGAGGACACGGTAACTGGAAGCCTGTCCGCTCACACCCAGGCCAGCTGCAGCAGAGATCCCCGATGAGAGAAGGCCACCCTGGCTGTGCAAGACGGATAGGTAAGTGAAAAAGAGGAGCGGAGGCAGCTCCAAAGAGCACAGACCACGCTCCAAGCAGCAGGATGCCCGCTTTAATAGCTTTAGCCGCCTGGATGAGATTTCCTTTGAATGAATACAGGCAGCAGCTCTCCGGATGCTTTCAGCGGGAGTGAGAGCCCCACTGAAGCAGACTTTAGCCAGCAAACGAGCCCTGCGGTCCTTGAGGCTGAAACGTCAGCGACGGCGTCATATTCCTGATCTGAAGCTCAGCGGGAACAGAACATCAGAAAACCTGATGTATTTTGATGTCCTGCTGCTGCTGAGCGACATGCACGTGTGCCTTGTGCCGAGGCTCCGTGAAAACGGTGGACGGTGGCTCAGGGAGGAAAGAGGAGATAAGATCCCCATAAAACTCTGAGCAATAAAGGGGGTGGATAAGCAATTTAGGGAAAAGTCAGAGTTCAGTGGCCGTGTGAGATAAGGCAGAGGGGTAGATACTCAGCGGATGATTCATTTGGCAAATACAAGGGAGTTGACTTCCATCGAAGGATGACCTGTGTTCCTCCTTCCTTTCTTGAATCATTGTGTCTTGCCCCTGTTTGTTCTGGGGTTTGTGCAACACCCCAGGGCTGGATTCTCCTCTCGAGGGTGTTTCCACACCAGTGGGTGCGTCCCCATGGGGAAATCGGGAAGCAAAGCTATCGGTTTGTCATGCAGCGGGACCCCATGCTGACGTCCTGTGTGGACTCTCTTAGGGCTTGTGGCAGCTACTTGTCCCAGCCTGAGCATTTCCACGGCTGCTGACACTTCACTGCAGAGCCAGAAGCTCACCTGTGAGATGGTACTGGACTCATTCCCAGGGCTCGCTTTCAAACCCTCAGTCTCTGGCGGGTCTGAGAGCAGGTCAGACAAGTCTGGAGCAGCCTTGTGGGAGAGCTTAGGGCTCTGGAGCAGTTTTTGGGCAGGCAGAGCATGCTCAAGCCCTCCAGAGCTGGCTCCTACTGCCACAGAGCAGCCTGGAGTGTGCCCTAAGGATGGCCTGGCCTTCACCATCCAGCCCCATATTCACCTCTGCCAGTGGGCAACACCAAAGGCTGCAAAGGAAGAGGCAAGGTCTCCAGCAGTAATAACTTGCACACGCAGAGGGAAGGCCTGCTGTAACTATAAACCTGGTTTTTGGGGGGCTGGGGAGTCAGGGCACAAACCACATCACTGGTAGCTGGGGTATATTCATTGCCTGACAGGCATAGGCAGACATTAGCAGCTATAACGACTCTGGATGTTCCTGATAGGCATATCAATGACCCGACTTTCTTTTCTCGTTGCATTCTGCTCAACTAAAGATGTTTGGCTTCTCCGATCCGTCCCGGTGGACATCTGCCTGCATTACAGCACTGCAGTAAATAAGAAGGATACAGCCATTCTAGTGATTATACAGCTGTTCTAGCTTTCATCTGCCATCAGGTTTGGAGGGGAGGGAGAGGAGCGCCCAGCACTCTCCATCTCTTGAGGTGTGGCCGCAGAATCCGCGGCTTCTCTTGGTACCTTGTTCCAGTG